GGAGTCCAAGGGCTGCGGAGCTTTTCTTTTGTGCACATTCTTAGTGTTCATTTCTTTTACTGTCATGACTCTTTACTTTCTTTTTTGGTTTTTTGTTTGTTTTTTTTTTCTTTTGGTTTTGGCTTTTGGCTGATAGTTTCCTAGTTGCTGAGGGAGATGCTTTTTCACTGTGCAAAGTGTTTTCGGTGACCTTGCGGAGGACGCGCGGTCCGGGCTCCTCTCGCTCCATCTGCCGGCGCTGCAGGTGCGGCTCAGGGCGAGCACAGCGGCCCCAGAGCTCCCAGCGCCGGCAGCCCCCCGGGGCTGTGGCTGGGAATGCACCTCCTGCTGTATGGCAGCCCGAAAGGAGTCCAGGTGCTGCTGCATCTTCCGTCGGGAAGCAAAGTGCAGTGAGTGGGAATTGTGGCTGCACCCTGCAAGAGTGAGTAGGTGTCAGAGTTCACTTCAGTGATTCTCCCCCAACCCTGGTTTAGGAGTTGCTTAGGTTTTTTGTACAGTATTGCCAACATCCTTCCAGCTTCCTATTAAATTTGAAATTTGACAGTTGTTTTAAACAGTCCAGAGGTTTTGTGTGGATAGAAAATTAAGCAGTGTATTTCTGCTGCAGCAGCAGGAGATTCCTCATCTGTCCAGCATCCACATGTGTATAATTTCCCATGCCTGTGGTGGGAGAATAAATCCTAAGTGGAATGGGTGGTGAAGGGGAATAGCTTTGGCAGCCTTGTCCCAAAAAGAGTTGTCTGAATTTGGGATTAAGTGAGTGTATCAGAGATAGGCACCTGGTGCAGTATCTTATGTTATTGCCAGAATGTAGCTAAGTATAGGCACAGGATCAGCATTGCCAAGATGAAAGCAAGTAGTTTTGTGGAGGAGATAATCCAGGAACTGCTGCATCATTCTCAGCGCGGGGACTAAGGGCTGAAGGGATGGAGATGGCTAATCAGCCCAGCTAATTCCTCAGGTGTTTTCCATTCAGGATTCAAATTGCTGTATGTGCTTCTTTGGGCAAGTAATCTACTTGCCACATCCTGGTAATGTGACCTTCACACAGAACTGGTCCCATTTGCCAATTCTGAGCAACTCTGCTGCAGAAAAGCTCATCTTCTATTTCTCAGAAAGATGAGACTGCAGTGTGTTGGAGATGACTCTGATATGGAAGGTACTCCTCTGTGACACGTTCTTGTTAGCTGGGGGAATGCTTACACACTGCAAAAGGTCTGATGCTCACAGTGACATGGCTGTCCAAGGCATTTCTCTGAAAGCCAAAAGCTAATACAGTGAACTTGTTTGCTTTGCTTTCTGCAGTGAAAGAAGCAATAAATTACTTATCTCCATGCTTTTCCAGGAGGAAACAGTGTAGATTGCAACTCAGCACAAATCCATAACCAATGGAAAAATCTCATTTATTCCAGGAAGATTATCTTTTTAAGGGCAGTGCTAAATCTGGGCTATAATTAAAACAGCTTTTTAAAGAAAAAAGAAAAACAGTGGATGTTTTTATCATTTGATGTATTCTCTATCACTAATGACCCTCTTTTCTTCTATCCATTTTTAAATGGGTGTAAGGAGTTAGCTGTATATTGCATAAAAGTAGCATTACCTGAAAAAATAATTAAGATGATCTTGAAATTAAGGAAATCAGTTTTGAAAAGAAGCAAGTGCTTAATGGAGGTGAGACCAGCTGTGCTTCCCAGGAACGTGCTTGAAGCACTTCATGGAAAAATGTACAAGACCTTCATGCAACACTGGAAGGAAATTCATAATAACTCAGACAAATTGCATCCTATAAATAGCAGAGCTGGATTCATTAGGACAGGAGGCAGATGGAGAAAACCTAAAACTTGTTTGTTTCTTTTTAAGACACTATAGTGCTTATGAAAAGTGTCAGCTTGCTGTCAGAGAGGGAAAACCCTCCAGTGCAGCAGCAACTTTCTCATTATTAGTTTTTCATCCCTGCTAATGAGCAACCTGCATGAGGGGCATTCTTGGTGCTTGGCTTTAGAAACTCGTGCTGCTTTTCCCTGGCATACCCAGGCTGACCCAGACCAGCTGCAGTGCTGGGAGAGGAGCAGGGGAGGCAGGAGGGAGGACAGAGCTGTGTGTGGTGTGTAGCACTGGCTGGCACTGTTTGAGACAGATGCCAGTAGGGCAGAGGAATAAATGTAGTTGAAAAGATGGGGGGGTGTGGAGTGAGGTGAGAATCAGCCACCACCTGCTAAGGAGTTATGCCCCAAAGCAGGAAGGTACTGGTGGTTGGTAAAGAAAGTGCTGTGCATTATTGAATAGAGAAGGTGAAGGCATTTTTGAGATGCTCTTACCGTCGTAAGGAGGAAAAAGGAGATGCTTTCATGCATGGAGAGAGGTAATGACAGAGAGCGGGTGAGAGGTGCGTGACTGGAATGCAGCTGTGGCCACAGAAGGGGAGCAGAGGTGAGGGGCTTGGAGCATCTCAGCATCCACACACAGCAAGGTGCTGAGGAAAGAAGTGTGTCCAGTCAAAAAGGAACGTACAGACTGACAGAAAGGGCACATCACAGACTGCATTTAAATAACAGGACAGAGTAACGGTGTGGGGCTGTTTCCAGGTGTGCCAAAATTACAACCAGGTACTTCTAAACAGAAGACTGGCTGAACAATTGCATCCTGTTGAACTACAGGCAAGTCTGAGCTCAGATACAGAAGCAGAAAATGTTCTGTATGAATATTATCTGTTAATGAACCTGCCTTCATCTCTTCTGCTGATCTGATTTACATTTCAGCAAAGCTCCCTTAAAAGATAACAGTGTCAAAATTCCAGTAGGCTATCCTAAGAGATTTTTAAGTATTAGTGTTCAGGAAAGGAACACCAGGCACTTATCAGCAGTGTTTTTTCTTGAGAAGTTCTTAGGTTGCCAATTCACCTTGTGGAGCGGCAGGGGAAAAGGGTGATATGAAGGTCGTACTGGAGTCAGATAATCACAGACTTATTCAAGGAATGGAGAAAAGCTGTACAACTGTTCATGCTTCATGGCTTAAGTAACGATGGTTTTTCCTCAGCATTCAGTATAGAGGGCAATGATCCCAGTGCAAGGGGAGGACACTCGAGAAGAGGAAAGTCAGTGGTATGGATTGGCAGGATGCCTTTGGGGGTTCCATCTGTTGCAGCTTGCACGTATCCGTAGGGTGTCATGTGTAGCAGGCAAGTGGTGGCATTAAAACGAGGCACGGACGTGGAGCAGGTTCAGTGTCCGGTCACTGGAGAAGGATCCGGGCGTGCTGGGGGGCACATGAGAGGCTGAGCACGGAAAGTATGAACCAGTGCATGGATCCTCTTGGATCCTCGTGCATTGATCGGATTTTTGGTATGGAACAAACCTTGGCTGATGGTGTTTGCTTGCTTTCAGTGGGCTAAGTACCTGCTGTACAGCCAGGGGGTTAACACAGCTTGTGTTCGTAGACAGTGTTACACGGCATTTAGAGGGTGAGATCTTGACTCAAAAAGCCATGCAGCTGTATGAAGGATGTGGAGGCTTGTATTTCAGGAAGCCTTTAGCAATAGGGAAGAAAAAAAAAAATCCACTGGATAGGACAGCATTGCTTGAAGATGTCTAAAATATGGTAATCTGTGATGTGTGTATGAGAGATGGGTGATTTTGAAGAGGAGGTGCTGAAGAAAGAAAGTGATTTGTGTTTGGAGGTTTCCTGTCTTGCTAGTGGAAGACTTGCTTTGAATTATGCTATAATTCTAGGACAGCATCTTGTTATGTGAAGAACATTCTTTTCACGTGTACAAATAATAAAAATGATTTTGCTCAAAAGAAGCTTGAAATTGCCTCTTTGCCCAGGCTTCTTCACACTTTCATGCTTTCTTTGATGTCATGTTTTTCTAGAAATCCTCTCCTAGGTAATGCTTGCTGCATTACCTAATGCTTACTGCAAACATCCCAAAGACCAGCAGACAGCTACAAGGACTGCAGATGAGTCACATTGACCAGAGCTTGCTTGTGCCTTTGTGCACTCACCAAGGCGATTTGGGGGTTTAGTTTTTTGTTCGCATAACCCGAACAGCACTTTGAGATGGTTTGTCTGGCCAGTCATTTAAGCAGATGCTTGGCATATTCCGCCCTTTTTCATGCAATGTGTCATGCTACACTTAGTGAAGGAAGATAGGTAAAAATTGCTTCAAATTGTTCAGCAATTTGGAGTGATGGAGTTCTTGCCTAAGATACTTTTAAGGTGGGTAGATGCATAAATCCTAATCCTGTGGACGAGGAAGTCAGGACACGATGGAACTGTCAGTTACTCAGCATCACAAAAGGAAAGAGCTGGGAGTAGCTCTCATTCCTGTCATGCTTAAACTGCACAGCTGGTACAGTGACTCTGGGGATCTGCAGTGAACAGATGTGGCTGTCACAGTCTCCCAGTGTGGGACAATGCCGGCGTATTTCTGTGCTGAATATTTGAACTAGAGTCAGTGTTCCTCCTTGCCACTCACACTTGGGGGGTTCTGGTCCCTTTGACACCTTGCCTTTTCCTTCTTTCCCGTGGGTGTGTGCAGGGCGTGGCTGACAGGATTGTGTAGCTCACTCTGTTGGTCCTGCTCTTTGTATCTCTAAAAGTATTGAGAGATACTAGAACAAGGAAAGAAGTGCAAGGTGAATTTGCAGCCCAGTCTAGAGATGCAGAATAATAATTGTGTATTGCAGGCAAAAATTGTCTCTTGTCACCACCTGCATGCTGGGCAGTTTATAGCATAGCACAGATTCCAGAAAGAATTGTCAGCCTTTAGACAAGCAAAGTGACCTGCAGCCCAGGTGAACATTTCTCTGTATGAGTTGCTGTCTCCACCATTTCCAGCAACTGTGGATAGAATGTCTTGGTCATGGCAGAAGCTCTACTTTCTGAATTGTCACTGCTTTCACTTGGTTGTTCTCTTACATTATTGAATAGGGGTATGTGTTTGTTTATTCATTGTGTTCTCTGCTTCTCTTGCTTCTGTTCTCCTCTTGCCCCACCTGCAGGCTTTGAATTATTGTACCAGCCAGATGTGGTCCGACTGTACCTCTCCATCCTCACTGAAAGTCAGAACTTCAACACTCTGGAAGCTGCAGCAGGAGCTTTGCAGAACCTTAGTGCTGGCAACTGGACGGTGAGCACAGTCTTCAGTCTTTTTTGTTTCCTTTGTGTAAGTAAAGAATAAGGGGATGTCCCATTGTAGGTGTGCTGTTACATTGTACATTTGTATCTCCTTTAAAAAGGAGGGAGGTGGGAATGTTAAGGAAATTACTTCCATTTTCTTATTGAAAATGTTTTGCATCTTCTGGACTGGTGATGTTTACATAGTGGAACTATGCTCAGTGCCACCACTTCAGCCACTTAAGCATTGCTTTGTCCATTCAGAAAAGCCTGGTATTAGATAGTTAGGTGTTCTGAATACTTAATTTGTTGGATTGACAGTTTGCTGAGGAAACTGCCCTCCAGAGTGTCCCCTAACACCCTCTGTGAAGCATCCCCAGCGCTGATCACTTCTAGAACTGCTCAGCAAAGTGGGACTGATAGCAGCCTGAGGGTTGACAGGGTGGTGCTTCACAGCTGCCTTGGGTACAGCTTATTTTAAATAATTCAGGCTTGTTTGAAAAACAATCATGAAACAGAATAAAACCATGAAATTGGAGGAGGAGGAAGATAACAGATGCTTTAGATGCTTTACTGTTTCTTCCAAGTGACCTCTTTTTTCCTAATCCAGAGGGATGTGTTTTCACACCAAGGTGTGGACAGAACAGATGCTGGCAGATGATGCTCCTTCCTTCTGTTCCTGCCCTCTTTCCCCAGAAGCTGGAGGATGAACTCCTACACCCTTTCTTCCTTGGTTCTTGGTGAACTTGAATGAAGGGTTAAGGCAATGGGATAAATCAGCACGCACAACCTAACTGGTCTTTGCAGATAAAAAAATGGGTTACAGCACTGAAGTAAATGCCAGGGGCAAGGAAAGAGCAGGTATATGAACTCACAATACTTGGTGTTGTTTCTTTTCCCTCGTGTCCCGATCAGTGGTCCACGTACATCCGTGCGACGGTGCGGAAGGAGAGGGGGCTGCCGGTGCTCGTGGAGCTGCTCCAGTCTGACTCAGACAAGGTTGTGAGGGCTGTGTCCATTGCCCTGAGAAACCTTTCCATGGATCGTCGCAATAAAGATCTCATAGGTATGTCTGAACTTCTCTAACCAGCCTGGGGTCTTGGAGACCCTTGAGGGACCTCACATTTTCTGTCCCTTGTGCTGAGGATTTGTTCTCTCTGCAGTTTCCAGCCATGCTGTCTGGGATTGGCTGTAGCCACCAAGTGGAGGGAGAGCTGTCAGCTCACAATGTATTTCCAGCCCACTCAAACAAGCTCTGGCTTGAAGGAGATCTCTAACTTGGGAGTGCCATTAGGTGTACGTTTCTGCAAGAGAGGAGTGTGTGTAGATGTGCAGAGGGCTTGGATGGGTTCAGAGGTTTCTTGTCTTTTCCTTAGCTCTGGCTGGTGTGGGACTTGGGCTCATAGATGTTGCTCCTTAGGCCTGCCTGCTATTCCAGTTAGAGTGGGAGTCTGGCCTCTGTCATGCTGAGCTAACCTGGGGAAGTGCAGGGTACTCTAAAGTTGTACCTTTGGATTTTTGCTTCCTCCTTCCTTTCTCATCCTTTTGCCTGGTGGGTATTTGTAGAAGCTGGACACTAAGCAACTTAATATTCTTCAAGTTGGTGTTCAGCACTGCTCTAGCTCCTTTCCAAAGTGGTACCTGCCTATAAGCAGGAATCTTGGAAGATTCAGCTGAGATGAGTTTTTCTCTACATGATCTCTGTATTTAACTAAGGTATTTGTTTAAACTCTAACCTTGTCAGGCCAGGAAGTACTGGTGACCTGTTTAGGGCCATCATTGAAGTTGATACTGGCAAATAGCAAGGTGGGATTCTACCTTAATATGTCAGGTTCTCATTTTAATAGTTCAGAGGTGTAGCCAGGCAAATGGTACAGATAGATACCTGGGAATGATAAAATACAGATTCCCTGTTTTCTCTCAAGTACTATACATGGAGAAGGCTAACTGCCCCCAGGAGGAAATACTCTCTTACCTTTGTTGGAGAAGGTTAATAAATGCATGGCTGCACACCTTGCCCCAGAAGGCCTATTACCAGGCTAAGTTGAGTAAACCATGTGCATGTATTAGCATGAATACCTGGCATTAGCAGCTACTGGATGCTTTTTTGCCTCAGGCTTTGCAAAATATGATAGATGTTGGCTGTAAAATTCTCAGTAAAAATGGCTTTTTTCTCTCCTCAGTACCTTTCAGAATCCATGATGAAGGACTTTTTTATCTTAGCTTTATCAGCTGTCAATCGCCTTGAAATACTGAATGAATGATAAATACCCTGTGAAGTTACAGTCTTGTGGTTTTAAAACACATCCATTATAAGGGGTTTTTTCGACATAGCAAACACCATTGACTTTCATCATTCAGGATGGGAAGCTAAAATTATTATTAGGGCTGCCTAATGGTATCTCTTCACCTTATCTAGGTAGTTATGCCATGGGTGAGCTGGTAAGAAATTTGCCCAGCAGGCAGCAGAGATCTGCAAAGAACCTGGAAGAGGACACAGTGGTTGCAGTGTTGAATACCATCCATGAAATCATTACTGACAGCTCAGAAAATGCAAGGTCTCTGATCCAGACACAGGGCATTCAGAAGCTGGTAGCTATCAGCAAGTCAAGGTAAGTGACAGTTGAAGGCAAAATGTATAAGAACTCCTTGCAAACATGACAATGTCACTATGAACAGCAGCTTCTGCTTTGTGAAAGTATTGGAGCATCCCAACCTCTCAGAGCTGTAATTTCAGCAGTTAATATAAACAAAGTAAAAGCAGCCAGCACCTTTAAAAGGTACTTGATGAAAAAGGTTAATTCATGAGTCACTTCAGTCATGTTAAGACGTGCTCTCTCCTTGTCAGAGTCATCTTAGCACCATATATGCACCAGGCAGCATTTGCAGTGAAACCATGATCTTTGGTTTTAGTTCGAAGGCCTTTTTTCTGTGGCAGTGTTCCACTGCTGGAATGCCAGTGATGAAATGTGTTTCTTTCAAGTGAAATTGTTAACGATGTGTGGTAATTGTTCTGGCCAAAGGGCTGGTGGTGGTGATTTTAAGTGACAAATTTTCTTCCATTTAAAAACTCTGTTCTGACTGCTGTGGAGGAATGTTTTGTGTAGTTTGTGTAGTTAGACTTTGTAGATGTGTTTGCTGCAAACTTCTGGGAGAGTGGCTGAAGTAGCCTTCTTGGGTTTTATTGTTACAAAATATGAGAGCCACCAAAAATCTAGTCCTGTTTTAGATTATAAAAGGTGTCTGTGTACTGACTTAGTAAGGAATAGATAAAATTTCATTTTCAGTTCAAAAACAGCTTACTTTTTTTGCTGACCGAAATTACTGTGTGAGGTATTTGAAGCCATGGAGCAACTTCATTGAATTGTGAGGAACATTGGGATGAAGGTTTGAAAAGTGGCTTAGAATTTTTTTTTCATTTGGGTTTTTTTTTTCCTGAATAAATCCAGGCAGAATGGAATCTGTCTGTTCTTTGTTAATGACAGCTACAAGACAAAAATGTCACCATGGCCCCTGACCTGACCTTGCTTGTCCAGCAATACATGTGAAAACACAGAAATGTGCAAAATTCATAACGTTTTGATTTCTGGTTTTGTCAGCCAATAGCTATAGATATTATGAAGTCACTGAATGATTTCACATAAATCCCGTTACTTATAGGTTGAAATAATAGCTGTGTGGATTATTAACATACAAATAGTCAGACATTGCTTGATACTTAAACTGTAATTTTATCTTGCAAATCAGCCAGTCTCCCAGAGAAACAAAAGCAGCATCTCACATTCTTCAGATGATCTGGAGCTATAAAGAACTACGAAATGCCCTTCAGAAAGATGGGTGGAACAAGTCACACTTTCAGGTAAAGATCTTAAGTAAGTTCTGGAAATGCCTGAGTGGAGATGTCCTTACTTAGGCCAGTCTTGCAGTCTGTAGATCTTCATTTTCACTTCTGTTCTTCCAGTGAGAGCACAATGGATTGTGCCCTACTCAGTAACACCATCCTGCATAGAGTTGCTGGCTGTGCTTTGCTGTGGTCTGTGGAATGTACCTCTTTAGGTTTGGGGAGTTTGCCATCCTGTACAGCCCAAATTCCCTGATTTACTCATGGAAGAATTAGCATGTCTTGTCTTAGTTGTGTCTCCTTTGAATATTCTGCACAGCAGCCTAGGGCAACCACCTCTGCTTGATGCAGCCTCCTCACCTTTTCTTGTGGAAGGCTTTTGCTTTTTTCACAGGGCAGCAGTGCTGCCATTGAGAGAACAGGGAGAAAATTCCTCCATCAAATCTATGTGAAAATGAAAAAAGCTCCATTCCATATTATCAACAGAAGGGGGGCTTAGGAACATTCCATAACCTCTCTCTGTGCTGTTGCTTCATTTATTTTTATTGTTCAGTTTCCACAAGTAGCAATTTGGTGTTTGTGTGTTTTTTGTCTTGTAGTCTGTTTCTGCAGCTCCAAAGGGCTCCAAAGGTACTGCTGGCAGGTCTGGCTATGACGACAGCACTTTGCCTCTGGTGGATAAAAGTCAAGGTCAGTTCTTCTCTTTATCACTTGTCATATAGTGCTTTACTGGTTTTCTGGATTTGTTGTAACTGTGTTACAGCACAAGGGGGTAAAAATGCATTATTCATATATGATTTTTACCCCACAGTCTCAAAATAATCAGTCCCTGTTACTTGGAGAGGGATAGAATTTCTTCCCTTACAATGTAGTAGAATGTACAGTACTGATACTGGTTTCTCAGCTTGGGTGCCAATGTTATCAGTTACCTGCAAGTGGGGTTGACCTTACCCCTACTCTGTACTGGAGTTTTTCCCTTTTTTAAATAAATGTGCCCATTTTGGCACAGCCTCTTCCTCTACCATGCAGGGCTTTTTTATTGGAGATGAGTTTATTCAAGCTTCACTAATCCTGTCTGTGCTTTTTCATGAGGCACAGCCACACCAACACCAGTGTAACACCAGCTTAAATTTCACCATGATTGCTGTGTCTCTGAGCCTGGCTCTGGTTGCTAAGAGCAGGATTTGCCTGGTGCACTTTCTCTGGTTTAACTGCAGGTTAGTGCAGAAACAACAGCCCCACATTGCCCTGCCTGTTTCCACCTTCCCTGTCTTTGATCAAACCTGGCACATTATGCAGACAGAGGATGATTTGGGTCAGCTTGCTGATGACAAGAAACTTGTTTTCTTTGTGGATTAGTTTTCTGTTGGCTCAGCAGGCTGCTGGATTGGCTGGTGTGCTGTGAGAAGCTGCACCCTTACTTATTTTCCTTCTCTTTTATTCTGGAGAGACCAAAGAGAAGCTTGTTAATCGTGGTAGGTAGTCCAAAGCAGAACTGTGGCTTCTGTTGGAGAGAGAAAGCTGTGTATTACAGTGCCAAAGCAGCAAATACATGGATTACATGTGCTCTCTGGAGAATTTGATTCAGACTTCCCTTTCTGAATGGATAACAATTGAATAGTTTGGGAATTTTTTAAATAATAATCTCTGCATTCAGTACTTTATCAACCACTCTGGTTTTGTGACTAATTTAAAACTACCAGGTTTTGAGAAAAGCAAATGTACCTCAAGTTGTTCCAATGCTTCTGTTTTCTAGATAATGAGAAGTCTGGGAGTCGTGATATGATACCTATGGATGAACTTGGCCCAGGTAAATTCAGTCATAGATCAGACTCTCTGTCTGTTCCAATAGAGCACACTGTCACTCACAGGAAAGTTCAACTATTTCTCTAGGAGATATTATCTCAGATGGATAAAGCTGACATTTAAAAACAGAGCATTACCTCACAAAATATTGGTCGTCGTCTTTTTTTTTCCTTTGTATACATGTGGAGTGTACACACCATTTTCCCCCACTACTTAATGCATATATTGGAGGTACATTGACCCAGCTTTCATTCTACTCTTTGGTCCCTGAGGCAGCTGCATTCCCTATTACAGATCTGGAAGTCTCCAGGATTCAGAAAGAAAGAGTTGAAAACTTACTTCAGTGTATTGCTTGTGTTTAAATCTGTCGTGCCTTTGTTATTTTAGGTAAAACCAAAAATAGGTTTGTGTGTGTGATATTCATTACTCTACTTTCCATTTACCTGCATCTAAACAACCCTGGCTTTTCCTCTAGACTGAGAAGAGCCACTGACTGTCAGTGATGTGCTTTGAGACTGATAAGCTCTGTAGTGTTAAACTTCTTTTTTTTACCTTTACCAAGGTGGATAAAGGTGCTGTGTGGTCTCTTGAGAATTTGCACCTATTAAAATGCACCTATATGAATGCCTCCAGATCAAACAGTTTGGTACACTGCTATTAGTAACTGTGATTGAATAAAATAGCAAGTTAGAGCCAAGAAAAAGCCAAGCATGTTGAGAAAGTAAAAGAACAGGTATATATTACCTTTTATATTCTTGGAAAAACGAGATGCCACCTGCTATGAATCAACTGTCCATATGTATTTTGCCTTAGGGAACACTGAAACATTTGTTCTCACAATGGAAGAAAATCTCTTCTTAGAGGATTGCCTGGCAGGAATAGCTGTGTGCTGGCAGGTGCTGCAGAATGGGCAGTGCTGATTGTTTATAGTCTCAGTATTAATTGCTGCCTTATGCTCTCAGGAGTTACTGGTACAGCCCTGAGTACAAAACAAAATGCAAATTTACAGCATATGTACACCATCAGGCAGATTCCCTGGGCCATGCTGTTCTCCAGTCTTTTTATCACCTTTAGAAGATGAGATCTGTCAAGTTTTCTTGATTCCAGATCTTGAGTGCTTTTTACTTCGATATGACTATGACTTTAGTCTCTTTTCAGCTGACCTCTGAAATAACACAACTTCGTTTATCCAGTTCACTATCCTTAATTCCAGGGAACTGGAATAACAGCATTTCATCTCTTTTCTTCAGGCTCTTCCAAATGCTGCATGTTTTTTGTCTTACGGGCATATTAATATGAGAAGGCTGCTCTAGACTTTATTTTCAGATTTTATCTTTGTAGTGGACTGTTGTGTTCTGGAATTTCTGTTCTTTTTCCACTCTGGAATGAACTGGTCCTTCCAGCCCAGTGTTCATCCCGTGCTGAGTACATGCATACAAGACTGATGGTTCCAGAACATCCCCACATGTCTGCCCCTCCTCTGTGGGTTCTTCTCTCCAGTGTTCAGGCTGTCCTGGTGCCTGGGCCTTTCTCATTAACCCACATTGGCTCTGCTTCAAGATCACAAAAAGAAAATTGCTGGTGCTGTCTCAGCTTCTTTCCTAATGCTGTAGGAGTCATTCTCACCAGAGGAAATCACTTTGCCAATGTCATTGGTTAGGGAGCAGAAGGATACGTTCCCCATCAGCTGACAGTACTAGAGCAGTCTGGGCCAGTCTGCCCCTGCTGTCTGGGGCACTGGAACAGCCTGGATATGGTGTGGATGTGCTGGGAGATATAAAAAACCCCATATTACGAGTTACCATGGGATAATCAGGTTTGTCAGGCGTCCCCAGCTCCAGCAGGCTGGAGAGCAGCAGTGCCACTGTCACCATGTGTCTGGAGCCCTGCCCCTGAGCTGTCTGCAGGGGCAGCAGAACAGGGATCTCCAGTGTGTGCCAAGTCCTCCAAAACTCTGTGTGTGCCTTAAACTGCAGGCACTCAGACAGGAGCACTGTGGAGGTGAAATTGTTCAGACCAGAGACAGAGAGTTCAAATGCCATTGTCCTTCATGCCCATCTTTAGGCATGACTTTTCCTTTTTCCTCCTCCTCTTTGATGGGTTTAGAGGCTTGATCTTTTTTAAGTTGAGAACTGTGTGAGGACACAGATGGACTGACAGTGGCAGGCATGAATTTGGTCCTGTAATTTGTGATGACATAAAAATGTTGCTGTAGAGTGAAGGGGAGATAGAGAAGCAAGAGACAACAGCAAGCAGGATGCCAAGAGAGGGAAGTAAACAAGCCAAGGATGGGACATTCTTCTGTTGACCAAAACAACTTTGGTTCAATTCAGAGTCATGTACTTATACCTTGGAGCAGCAAGATACATGTAGATATTTATGCCACAGAAGTAGTTAATTCTGACTGCCTCTTCAAATGAATATGAAACATTGGAGAAGCAGTTTTCTAACTGCAGATTTCTAACTTCTTGCAGAGCTGTTGTTCTCAGGGCAGTGAGGTACTACTTCTCTAATGCAGACTCTTTCAAAGTATTTCTCATTTTATTTGGTCAAATCATGAACTTCCTATCTCTGCTGCTGCTTATCTTGACAGAGGCAAGCACAGTGTGTGGGTTTTGGACATGTAGGTGCTAGTCAGTGTGCAGGCCAGGGGCCCACAGGACAAAATGCAAAATGTGTTGGAGTTCAGATGCAAAGGGCAAAGTTCTTGAGTATTCTTTGTTATCAGATTTTTGCCACTGCAAAACTGGAATTTTCCTCTTGCTGATGTGTCCTGGCTAAGTGTGGGAGTTTTAATTTTTTCCTAGTATTAAAGATATGTTTTAGTTTTTTATTTTTTATTATTACAGTTTACTAATGATCTTGCTCCCTGGGAAGTATCACAGCTGCCATCCTTCACTTAGTGGCTGTTGCTTTCTGGGGGTAGTTCAGAGGTTTCATTGTGTCTTGGCAATTCCTTTTGGAAGTGTTTGTCGATCATCTGTGATGATGGCACTACAAAAATGCAAAGTGATCCATTACATCCTTGTGAGTACAGTTACCATGAGATTGTAAAAAGCTACCACCCAGTTGCTGCAAAGTTTGATTTTCTGTTTTCCCATCACTTAATACATACTTCTGTGAAGTATGTTGTCCTAACTAAATGATGAATCTGTAGATTAGGACGTAGCCTACTGGCAGTGTTCATGCCTGTCATTTGAAAGAGAATTATCGGTCGTGCGTTCTCCACAAGTGCTGGCTGGGTGGCTGGGTGCAGCTGGTTTTTTACTTTTTTTGTTCAAAAGGAATAGCTAAAAATGTCATCTTGATTGTCAACAAGTAATTGTAAGTTAAGTGCTGTGTAGCAAATCATGCTTTATGATCTGTGAAGTACATGTATAACTCCAGAATTCTTTAGTTATTTTTGGTCAGTGTGGTTAAATCATCTCTTATTGCCCTTGATGTCAAAAATACGTCCTGCCTCAGGTGCTTGTTTGCTGGTCTGTGTGCCCTTGGGTTTGAGGCACACAGAACACTGCAGCTTTTCTCATCCTGACCTGGCTCTATGTGCAGTTGTCATGTGGGCAAACAGTGCCACGAGAAGCCCACAAATACATCACTCATTTTTCCTTAATAGCCTGTTACAGGCAAGTAATAAACCCGAAAGAGAGGCATTTTGATAGTTTATGTAAAACTTTTTATGGTATTCTAAAAACACAGTTTGTCAGGACAAGAAAACATTAATGATCCCTCAATTACATAGGGGAAAACAAAAGCCTACAGGGAGGTATAAATTCGGGTGTTGTTTACTCCAGATTACAATGCTGTCAAAGCAGAGCAGGCAAGGATCTATTTGTCACTGTTAATGAGGGAAATCTGATGCATCGTGAAAATAAATTAAGTTTTGCATTGTCTGACAGTGATTCAAAGTAAAGGTTCTGAAATAATTACAGCCATTTCTCTATAAAACCCTCTCACAGTTTTCTTCCTTGTGTTCATCATGCTTTCATGCAGTTCCTTAGTTGTCAGGAGAAAAGGCACCAACAGGTGCTGCTTCATAATGAAAGACAGCCCAAGCACAGCAGGGATTGCATTGAGATTTCTTCCAACTCGACAGGCCCTTTTTCTCAGTGCTCTGATAGGGACTCTTCCAAATTATTGTCATGTCCTGCTAGTAGTCAGGCTCAGGAAGAGTGGGAACAGGCTGCAGAGCATTCCGAGAATGAACACAGCCAATTAATCAGGCTGCTAAGCCAGGAATGCAGGATTTGGGCTGAATTTGGAGCTCATTAGCCACAGGGCATGAGATGACAACTTGCTGCTTTCCTTGGGCACACTAAAAAGTGCAGCAGGCTGGGATGAAAACAGTGCTGTTTGCTAATGAGTGCCAGCATCTGGCAGTGCTATAAAAAGAAGACTTCTCTGTTTGTTTTTAGCTAGTAAAAATGAAATTTCAGAGCTGGAGCACATGAGAAGCAGGCTGCTGGGGTTGTGGTGGTTTGTTTTGCTTTGCTGAACAATTCTGCTTGCATCAGCTCTGTTTCTGCTCTTGTTTTTGCTTCATGCCCTCCTGTTGTGTTTTCTCCTCAGATGGATATTCCACCATCGACCACCGAGACAAGGAGCGCAAGTACAAGAGCAGCGATAACACGGGAGACGCTTCCGAGAAGGAGCCTTTAAAAGTGAGCTCCCTCTTACTGCTGAGTGCTAGGTAGTGCCCTGGGAAGAAAGGAGTCCAGTGTCCTCAGCCAGAAACACAGGGTAGTCACTCCCCAGGGGGCTGTATAAAGGGCCTTTTTTTATTTCACATGAAGGCATTATTTTGTAATTTAGCACTTGGCTAACTAGAAATAAAAGCAAAATGTTGCTTTCCAGTGCAGGAGCAAGTGCAGTTAGTTGCTGTACTCTTGTAAATGGATGAGGTTGTAAAGATAGGTGTTTGTTCTGTTGCCCTTGTCCAGGCAGCATTCCCTGGCCCTGAGCTGTGTAACTGTGCTCAGACTTTGTTCTGACAAGTCTCTTCAGATTGTCATGCTGCTTTATTGTCTTCATCATGAGAAATAGGTGTGATCTTGTATGTCCATGTCCAGCAGTGTGGTGAATAGTACTCATTTCTGCAACACTCGTTCACAGTCCTGACGGTGGACCATGACCATGGGCCAGGGAGATGGAGAGCGAAGAAGAAACATGCACAGTTATGTGTGTGTCTTCTAAATACAAATTTAGACTGCTTTCTAATTAAAAACAATTTTTGCTTTACAAGGCTTTTTGTTATTATGGGCTGTGTACAAATGTGGCTCAGTACGCTCTGTGTGATTCCTGTTGCACTTCTCTACCTTTTCAGAGTAAAAAGTCTGTTAATGCTGTGGCCACCAGTTCTCCTTGGCCTTGACACAAGCTTGGGTTTTCCCTGGGGGAAGTAATTTCGAGAAGGAAAATGAGGGTTCATTGAAATAAGAGTCAGCGGTAGGAGACACTGTTGCTGGTCTGCAGAAGGCTGTCCTTAATAACCTTCAGCACATCGTTGATAATACCAGAAAATCCAGGTGATTCATGTTGAGGGGAAACAGTTAAACTTCAGTGAGGTGAAAGGCAAACCCACCATCATTGAACAGGGAAATAAAAGAAATGGGATTTGGAGAAAAATACTTCCATAGATGGTAAACCAGGAAGACTGCACCAGCTTGTCTGTTTTAACTTGCCTAGTCAGGCATTCCTGCTGTGTTCTGCCTTTTCAAGAAGGTACACCCAGCAGAGTGGCTTCAGTCTGCCTGGACATTTTAAAGCTGATTACTGAAGTCCTACAGTGTGTCCCTCTCCTCCAATTGGCAAGAGATGGTCCTGCTTGAGCCAGTATCAGTCAAATAAACTTCCTAGTTCCCTCATTACAGTTCAAGTACATTTTTGCAAGGATGCAGCAGGAATGGATGCAGTAAGTTATGTAAGAATCTTGATCAATAGGAGCTTGGCAAAAAAATGTCTTTTAAAGGAAAATAGGATAAGGTAGGAAAATTAACAAGTACTTGTTATTTTTTCTACTCAAAATTCATTAAAGTGGTCCAATGCAACCCTCAAAATCACTTCAAGCAGCTCCAACCCCAGTGTATGACCAAAGTGAAGCACAACCAGAGTTAAGCAAGTGGCTGCTTTGCTTTTACGAGAAAAAGGGAAAAAACATTTCACTTCAACAGTGTGTGACCCATAGCCTGTGCTGCCTCTTGGTTCTGAGCACCTGGGGGTAGCCTGAATCCAGGCTATTGTACACAGCAACGGTGTGCACAGCCCTGCCCTCACCTGGGCAGAGCTGAGCAGCTGCTGCTCTTCCTCTCTGCTGCCAAACAGAAATGTGGCTGTGGGGGTTGTAGCTCATGAGCTGTGTGAAAGCTCAAGGGAGGCTGGGAATCCAGGGAAGTGTGGCCTTTTGGCTGTTGCAGATGCTTTTTTCAGTATTGTGCCTTTGCTGATCTTGTTTCTTTCTCTACCACTAATTTTCCCTTGTGCTACTTTAAGCTGACTTGTTTGGTGGTTTTGTTTGATTAATCCGCTCTGTTTTGCTTTAACTCCTCACCCTGTGCTGCAGAATGACACAAATAGGAAAAACATTAACAGGAGTAACAGGGCTTCGGTGAATCTGGTGGATGCCCGTGACATTAAACCCCAGCCTGTTGACTCTTGGGTCTAATTTGCATGCATGGTAGGTCCTTTTAATGGTAATTGGGTCTAGTGAATAACTTTCTCTTGTGCATGATTTGTATAGCTGTGGGATCTCTTCAAATCTAACTGCTAACTTACAGATAGATGAAAGTGTATTTGGAAGAAAAAAAAAGTGGTGTTTATACTATTCAGTGTATCTTTAATGAAACGCAACCAAACACCACTGTGTGATTAAAAATAACCTGTCAAATAACCAGACAGAAAATTAATATTGTGAATGATTAGTTGTCAGCTGAAATGTGAAATATTTCTGCTGTTAGGCCATGGGAATGAATTTGAGTAGTGTGTTCCTGCTTCCAACCATTTTTCTCCCTCAATGCTCATTATAAGGATTAGCCTGAGACTTAAGAAAAAAACATATCCTTGACTATTTTTGGATGTCCCCTAAGGTTCCCACGAATTACAGCAGGAAAGCTGCTGACTGTACACGAGTTACTTTGCAAGGAGAGATTATACTGGTTACACAATAAACAGTGACCCACAACTCCCACTTTTCTTTTTTTTTTCTTTTTTTTTTTTGTTGTGTGTCACTAAAGAAAGGTGCCTTTTTGTTGTGTTCTAGTTGTCTGCCTTTGCCATGTGCCAAGTTCCTCAGTAATGTCACCGGCCTTCCTTCACTCCTGCCACTGCTAATCTGTGTCCTGCTGTCTTGCTTGAGTTACCCTGGTGATACCTTCTGGCACTCTGTCAGAGGATGCTGTGTTTGGAACAGCAGGTGTTCTGCCCCTGGCTATGACTAAAGGAAAATTTCAGTGACTGTCACGAAGGCACTGAGCAACTTTCCCATCAGAGTGGGCAAGAGACTTTAAAGGCCCAAATTCCAAACCATGAACTGTTATCCACCCCCATAATTGTACATGGAAATCCCTTTCATTAGTGGGAGAGAAAATTCCTGTATGTTTTTGGGTGGTGCTGGATAGTCTTTCCCCTCCTTCCTTTCAGTCTAGTAGAAATGCAAGGTGTTAGCAGATGGTTTCTGTTTCTGGTTGGAAGCACCTGCCTAGAGGAGGCTTTTTCAGCATTTTGAGGTGCTGTCACAGAGCAGGTCCTGGCACCACTGGCCTCCGACAGCTGCTCAGCGCTGCCTTATCAGCCATGGTGGCTCAGGCACATCAATGTGCCTGTGGTGCCTCCTTCACTCCTGCACTCTGCTCTGAGGTGAAGCCCTACAAGGGGGTTCTGACTTTGAAAAACTTAAGTCTGTGCTCCTTTTCTCCCAGACATGCCCTTCAAGGAGCCCATGTGTTGGCATAGGTTGGCATTTCCAGTCACTGTCCTACCACAGGTGATGGAGATCACCAACGCCATGCTAATGACTGCTATTAATCAGTTCTGACTTTATTTTGCAGGGTTAAAGTCCAACCACATTTTTTTTAATTGAGGGGGGAGAAACAAACATTGAATCGACCCAGAGATCTCATCAGTCACCACTGCCATTCAGACTGGGAGGGCTGCAGGTCCCAGGAGGGCGTGGGGAGCGAACCCACCCGAGTGCCATCGCCCGGAGCACGATGCCTTACAGCGAGACACTCTGCTGCTTAACTCCCTGACATTCCCACCAGAAACAGCCACCGCCTCCCCCTCCCTCCCTCCCACTCCTGCAAGAAGAAGAGCAAGAAAAGAGAATCCAAGCTTCCATGTAGCTGGCTGCGTTCTTAGGTGACTCTTACATGTGGATGGTGCCAAGTTGGAGAAGCGCACATCATGCGGCAGCTTCACAGCCAGAGAGGAACTGCGGGGTATTTGAAATGATACCGTAGGTGTAGCCTTGAGGAGAATAGCACTTTTCTGGTTTGGGGTTCATTGCTTTGGGTTTTGTTTTGGGGGATTTCTTTTGAACTGTGACTCTTAATGTTTTTGAAGGCTTTCTGAAAAATGTTTAGGTTTTCTTTATTATTCCCACAGAAGGTGCAGAACTGTTGAGTGGGTATATTGGATTTCAATGAAGGGAGAAAATGCAGAAAAAAAACTATTAAATGCTAGTTAAATGAACTGGAGAGTGGATGACAAAATTGATGCAGCTGTATAATCTGCTTTTAGAGTAAGCTATATCAATCACAGTGCTATATTATCATTATAATCTGGTGTACAATACTTCTGCCTTTTGAATTCTGTAATGTCTCTGTTTTTATTTCTGCATATTGAAAAGCAGTTTATGGAAGGTTTCAGTGTCCCTGGTTCAGAAATATGTGCTGGGAAATGGAGTTGGCTGGCTTTTTACTTTCATGTTCTCAAAGATTGCAATAAGGAGCTTCTACATGTTAAATGTATCATTGTTGCATTGATGATGATGAACTACTTTTGCCATAGCTGTTAAGACATTGAAGTTAATAGGAGCTTTTTTGTAGGATGTCTCATTTTGAACACCTATAAATTTGAGATGGGTTTGTCACTTATATTTGATAGTAAATTTTTCAGTGTTGGATCCATGTTTTCTTTGGGCTAAAGATCCTGATGAAAAATGCCACAAAGGGAACTGGTTTGGCATTTTAAAATCATTGTCATGGTTTCTGTGTTCCTTTGCTTTTGAGATTGCATATTTCACGTGGCGTGAAAATCACCTGTGTGCAGCAGCTCTCCTCCAGGATGCCAAGGCCTGCCTTCTGTAGGGGCATGTTTACCTCAAGAAAACGTACTCTGCAAATGTGGTATCTGGAAATGCCGGGAACAAAATTATTTCAGATCACTGATTTTCTCCAGGCATTGGTCAAGGGAGGGCAGCAGATGAGAACAGAAAGCAGATGTCTCAGTATCAGCATTGAGAGGACTTTTGCTGATTTTACTTGGTTGCCACTGTTCTTTGATTGCCACATTTAGTTTTAAACAAGCTCCTAGAAACGGTGTGACTGGAAAGCACATCCTTGAGTCTAGCAAACATCATTTTCGGTTTTCAGTGCCTGCCATTCCTTTTGTAACTAAAAAGGGGAAGTATCCAACAATCTCATCTCCCCCAAAATATTACTGTAATAGTAACCATTGCATTTTTTTGTATAAAAAAATTTTAAAAACTTGAAAAAAAAAAGCAAGTACCAAGAGCTTTGTATCTTCTTGAGTATATTAAGAATTTGACATGAATACATATATATAAATAAATAAAGAAGTCTATATATCTATATATATATATTGTTGTGCAGAGAATAGGTTAACAAAACCATGTAAAGTAGTTTGCAGGAGAGGGAAGCATTTGTTGATTCAGGGAAAAAGACTGATGCCAGAAGCTGTCAGTGATTTGGATGATACGTGTGCTGCTTCGCACCCTCCCTATTTGACCCTCATCTTCCACATACGTTGCAGTGTCACTTCTGGATCCTGGGAAGGTGAAGTTGCTTGGAGCAAATCAATATAACAAAGATTTGTTTTTTCACCTGCATGAGAGTCCTATTGGGCCAAAGATGCTCAGCGGATCAAGGGAAGCAAAGAGAGGCACCTGTGACTATCTGTGTCGGGGCACTGTCTCTCTGTGTAGACATGAGGTGTGGCAATGAAACCAGATACATCGTCTGACTGTATATTATATCAATGGTGCTCTTTTCATACTTGTTCTGCCAATACGCGGAGACCCTTTTAACCAAGCTACACAGAAGAGTTTTATATCACTTTTGGTTATGTACTTGGTGTATTCTTTTTGTATATGAAAGGATTTTTTTAAAAACGTTCAGTAATTAGCAATGGAACCTGCTTTGTAGCTGACTAGAACAGTGTAAGAGAAGGGCCGTGCTGTCAGTCTGTCCCTGATCTACTTCAAACCATATATTTACCAAAGGAGTCTGAGAAAAAGTTCACTTAAAATAAAGACCTGACTGTTGAAAGGAGTCTCTGCTAAGACTTTGTGATTTAGTTATTGTGCAGATATTTCAAGGCCAGCAAGAAGTTAACAGAGAAAACCACAGGAAGGGGCAAGTGAAGTGACTGGGGCCAGTTATGATCATGACTTCCTAGATATCCCATGGCTCTTACTGGGACACTACAGGGACACTCAGAGTCTGGGTTTGGAGTCTACATTCATCTGTGTCATTAATGGGCTAAAAACACTAAGGATATTTGAGAAGCAGATTCAGACCCCATCTCACTTCTCCCAAAAGTCTTTTTTTGTATTTACACTGCACCCTGAACTGTCCCTGTCAAGTTAGATGGCACTGGCTGCCCAGGTCATCGTAGCAAACTGTTCTTTGTTTTCCTGGGGGTGTTACAGCAGCCAGCAGAGTTGTGAGCTGACAACATGGTTTATTGCTGCAGAAAATCAGAGGATGGTATGTCAAGAAGTTGATGGGCCAAGGCTTCCCCTGGGAATCACACTTCAAACCCCTACCCTTCCCATGCCTTACATTGACAACTAATTCCCAAGTATGTAGCAATAACCCATCCCCCTCAACATTACTGTAGGGTTTTTTCTTCTCAACAAACTGTTATTTGGATGCTGAGGAAAGAAAACAGATCGGGGGATGACTTGCACGTGAGACTATCACCTTGTATTCTCAGCCCACCTGCTGAGGTCCAAAGCAGGGTGCCTTGAACCAGGTCTGGTGATTTAATGTCCTTTTTGTCTATGGCCAGGGGCTCACTGGTGGGATGTGTGCCCACCCCTGCCCTCACCTCTCCCCTTGTTGGCACAAGTGTGACTGGCTGTTTGAGCTGTTCTGGAATGTGGGTGTATGAACCCGTCATTGTTGTATTTTGGCAGCAGGGACTGTATGTAAAGAAGGGAAAGTGGCAGTGTGTGTTGACTAATGCTGCAGTATGGTCTAGAGTCTCCTGCTAAAAGGCAGGCAGTGCTCTTTAGGGCTCAGGTATGTGACCTCCTCTTTTACTGTTTACTCCACTGTGAAAACAGGAGGGAATATGCCTGCAAGGGGCTGGGATAGAAGAGATTTCTACCTGCAGAAATTGTAGTGGGAGGGATGGTTGTGGAAGGAAGTGAGGGTGTTGCAAGACTCCTGAAAAAGAGGAGGAAATTTGATGGCCCTGTCAGGGCTGAGATAACATGGGGGAGAGGAAGACTTCTGACAGCATGTGATTACTGTAGAACCTTCTTCCCAGGAAGGTGGCTCACATATCTCCCAGGCGTTTTCACTGAGCTGTGCAAGTTGAAAGAACACTGTGTGCCAGCTCCCCTGGAGAAGCATCAAGTAAGTGTGAGAGCAGTTGTGCTTTACAGCTTCCCAGGTCAGTCAGCAGGTCTGCAGAATCCAAGGAGGAGAGCAAAAAGGCAAGGCTGTAAGACGTTTTGGTTCTGTTGTGGATTTAAGTAGCAATATAGCCATACATACAACTCAAGGTGTGTTGTCAGCTTGAAATGCTCCCTAGGGAACAGCTTGGGCAGCCATAGGTCCCAGTCTTCAGTGTCTTCTGTTCTGGCATAACTGCTGCCTATCCCAGATGTGTTCTCACATGCTCAGACCTTCTGGTTCTCACTTCTATCAGGAAAGCAAATCTGGTCTCTGTTGCCAAGATGCCCCTGGGGACCAGGAACTGACTTGCTGTCAGGGACACATGATGAAAGCCAGGGGTGGCATGTCTGTTACAGCAGTTTCCTAAGCGTGTGCCAGCTCTGAGGAGAAGTTTCAATAATGCTTTCCAGCAGGAAAGCCTTATGCTAGGCAAAGCAGTTGTCACTCCTAGAGCAGTTCCATGAGCCTGAAGGTAATGAGTTACCTTCTGTTACCTGCCTTAAGGTTGAGCATAGGCTCAGCTACCTGTGAGGGAGGTGCACATGTCAAACCCTCGAGTAAGCAAAGCTTCAGAAGCCAAATGGGCACACAGGATTGGTTATAGCCTCATCTGCTGAGCGACTGCTGGCTCAGTGAAACCTACAGTGTGCCAATATCTTCAGCCAGCAGGTTTGTGCTGTTGGGGTGGAGTTTTTGAAAGTGTTTATATAGGTGTAGTTTCTTGCAAAATTTCCTTATGATGCCCCTAAAATCTGGTGTTTCCTTATCTTTGACAGAGAAAATCTCTGATTTACTGATACAGTAACTAACCTAGTGCATTTAAGGGGAAGATATTATGAGCCTTTGTTTTAAGTTTGACATCAGGGTAGGATGATCTGAAGTCCAAGGTGAGGAGGAAGATAGTGCAGATACTACAAGGCCTGCCAATCTGGTTCTTACTGTTCAGAAAAAACAAAATAACTAGACTAAGAAGCTTACTGGTAATTAGTAGCTAATGTGTTTGTAACTATCATGTGCCTTAAAATTTTCATGGTAGGAGAATTTAAAAAAATCAACAATGTGTTTTCTGTAATAACTGCTCAACATTCTCTCTGTAGATTAGACTGGTGGGATTTTGCATTGTATTTACACTGTACTATAAACTGAAACACTTAGAGTGGTTTGATTTTACAAGTATGGAGAGGGAAAAAAGGTGGATTATGCTTTTCATAGAACAAATATTACCGTGACAGAATGTATTATTACTATGATAGGATCTTTCCATAATGCAGACAAGTAGAATGCTTGTTAGAAACCAGGTATGTAGGATAACAGTTTGGTGTGTTTTCAATAAACCATGCCTGGAAAGAATACATGTGCCATTGGTTATCTTTTTGTTACATCAGGTATCTCAAATATTCTTTGGCTTTTGCAGCAGCAGTTTTCTGTGGCAGGGGATTATTCAACCCCAGTTCAGGTCAATGCTCTGTGTTAGTAAAAGGTCAGTGGTAATGAGAGGCAATTGAAATACCTTATAAATGAGTAAAGCTGAACATTTTTGACTCATTGCCATATGCTGGAGTTCTAGCACAACCCTGGACTGCAGATCATGGTTTTTTTTTTTTTTTTAAATATACAAGCATATTTCTGTGGGAAAGATATCTGCATCACTGTTCAAGGGCCAGCATGTCTGTGAGCACAGAACTTGCTGACAGCATTTCCATTTGGAAAGTTACTAACATTTCTCAAGTCATAAAATCTATGTAACTTTACAAAGATTGCACATTTCTGAAACGTGTGTAAGAAAACTAAATTGTAGCAATGTATGAGGTTTGGTTGACATGAGAAATTGTTGCTTTGAGGATATGCCAAATAATTTACATTTGGTACTGTGGAATGGAAGAAAATCCTGATAATGAAGAGTCACCCATGTATTGAAGGTAACAGCCAGTTACCAACAGATACTCATTGTCTTGAAGCCTGCCTCATCTGTGTTTGTGAGATCAGTGACTGGCACACCTAAACACACCATATTCACCACCATGTCTTCATGAAGCCTGACAAAACTTAATAAATCTCCACAGAATGTTCTGTGAGGTCTTAGGGAATGGAGGTCAGGTTTTCTGAGTGAAAGGTTGATGAATCATTGCCAGTAACAGTTTGCCATATGAGAATTCCTGACTGTACCATTCACAGCACTGTAAGGTTTCATTTACATGCAAATGTTTGCAAACAGAGCTTGGAAGGTCATCTCCGGCTTACCTGCCCTCCTTATTTCAGATGTTTTAAATGCATCCCCAGGTGTTTTGTAAAATCATCTCTGGATCTGTTCTTGCAGCTGGAGGATACAGTTTCACAAGTGCTGTGATAAGATGGGGGCTCCTGGACTTAGCATCCTGCAGCTTGGTGTCGTCATTGTTCCACCGCAGTGAGGAATCTTATTTTCCCTTTGTGGGTGCACTAATATGGCAATGAATAGCAGATGCTGTAGGTAAGGTACTGAGCTAAAACAAATACTTTGTTTTTAAAACTGACATTTTATAGCTGTCAAAATGATTTAATTTCCAGCTTATCACAGGTTGGGCAAACAGAAGTGTTAATTCCTGCAGGTGAAAGGTTAATCTGGTAACAGTGGTCAAGAAATACCAGCCCTCATCTGTTCAGGTTTCAGCAGTGTCTTGGGGTAATACTGTGTCCTCAAGGGTCTCTTCCCCAGTGTTTTTCTTTGACGGTCTCTGAAGCACAGCAGTGGCAAGATCTTGTTGTGGTACAAGCTGATGAGGGATCTTTTGAAACAGGAAGGTGCTTTATAATGTCATTAACTGAGCTGTAGAGACAGAGGCAAAGACTGAAACTCTGGTACTCTGTTCAACATGTGTGTGTGCACAGCAATCATAGCTGTTACTTGTAAGGTACCTTGTAACTGATTCCTGATTTATTGCTCAGCCAGGTAAGGACACATCACTGCCCTGCTGGTGTCACCTTGGATGGGAGAGTTGGGATCTTAGTGGTCTCTCTCTTCTTGTTGCTCTTGTAGGGGTTTCTGTATGTTCCCTTCACTGCATTTAGTGTTTGACTCATTACTCAGAATTCTCCAGTGGGCTTTTCACTTCCTCATGCCAGTGGGAGGAGGCAGTGGCTCCTGTACCCTGCTCTGTACTCAGACAAGTAAATTCTGATGGAAGGATTGCTTCCATGGATGCTGTTATGCAAAAGTCAGTAGTGCTACGTTTGATTACATCTTAAATCCTCCTTCTTTCTTGTACAAAAATTGATTCAATATTTTGAAAGATGGTATCGTGTCCCTTTGAGGTAACAGAGACTCTGGCAGAAACCAGATGTCACTCTCATGTACTGCCTGAATCACTAAGACGGCCTGGACAGAAACTGTCATCTGCAGGATAGGTGTAAATTACCAGTATTTGGTGCTTTTATGTGTTTCAGATGTGAGCTGTGAGAATTTGCAGAGATCTATGTATGTTGTTTTAGGGAAGTTCTTCCCCTTGGCAGCTTTTTGTCATGGTGCACTCTCATGGGCACTCCTTAAACACATGCTCCACATGCACCATTCCATACACAGTTTTTGCAAGCATAGGTTGTGTCCTCTAACTGTAATAGGCTGATGTTGCAGTAACACTCAGTAGGTTTTTAAAATATGTTTGAATTAGAAGATCCACTGCCTGCCTGTTCCTTCTCCCAGAATTCAAAGTGTGACTTTATTTTGAAAAGTGCCTCCTTTCCCTGGGAGATTTCACATTTATGTGTCAGTGACTCCAGATCATATTTGCTCAACTGACCAAAAGCCTTTTTTCTAATTGTCAGTCATGCAAACTGAGTCAGGCTTTTTTCTTTTCATCCCTTGCCACCAATAATTAAGAACATTTCAAAAATGTAGTGAAGTGGAAAAATTTTTCTTACATATGGAATTCTGCAGATATTCTGTTAGAACACACATTGTGTTTATTTTTACAATTTGCCATGTAGAAGATGCTTTCTAATGAATTAAAATACTTTTTTATACTAAAAGGTGGCTGTTACATTTGCCATATGTATTACAAATACATTATTCACTACTTCATCTTTTGAAATATCCACTGAACAGGTTCCCACCTTTCCTAATCTTCTTGACAGTCTCTTGAACAGTAATTTTGGCTATTATTCTGATCCACTCTTGGAAAATGCAGAAGACTCTACCTGTTTACTCTTATTCATCCTTCTGAGACTGGTTTGCTCATCAGCCTGGGGGATGTGCCCTGCTGTGGCAGGAGTGTCTGTTGGGTGCAAAGGTGTTCAGGGCTAAACACAAGCGAGGATTCTTTGGAGTCAAGGCTTTAGATGTACAGACAATTTTTCTGGTCCACCATAGGTATCCAGATTTTCCAGTTTTCCCTAGAAACTTGTATATGCCAATAAATGTACTTGAAGATTATTTTGCTTGCAAATTTTGCAAAAATTGTTTCCAACCACCTGAAGGACTTTGGTCCAATGACTTGGAGTTGCGCTGAATACCAAGAGGATGTGCTGCTGAGCAATGTTACAGAACTAATCACCGACTTACAGTACAAGATGGAGGTGTTAGAACTCAGTGTTGGCTCTACACAGAACAGCACAGCAGAGTCACCTGAGGCTGCTTCTGCATAATCTAACCCAGTACAGGAACTCTTGTGTCTTTCATTATATATGACAGCATTACCTTGTCAGGAAAACTCTGATAGTGTTGCCTTCTCCTGTCCCTTTGAAATGCACACTTTACAAACTGGCTGGGTCACCATGGCTTGCTTGGTCCATTTCTAAACTGACTCTTAGCCTGTTCTAGTTTTCTTTTGATGATCCTCTCTTCCTTACTAGTGTCCCAGAGGTGGATTTTCTGCAGCATACAGGCCAGAGCAGGGACCACTGCAGTAAGGTGGGCTATACAAGGAAGAAACTCATAACAGGCTTGAAAGAATTCAGACTGGAAAAGACAAGAATGGTTGTCCTTGATTTTCACTCTGATTTTTAACTGTTGGATCTTTCTGTGTCTGTTTCACATCTGGAAGCCTCACGTGCAGTACAGAATTCATTGGAAAAATGAACATCATGCCCCTGCTCTGTTGTTTCTTACTTTTTATTTAGAAATGTGACTGTTGCTGCCTTACATAATCACAGCAGGACATGCTAGGAAATGCCACGGGATTTCTGCATTGTTCAGGTGAGTTAGAGACTTCATATTTGGCTTTGAATCTTCTCAATGACAACCCACACTCTTCACATGGTGTAACAGCACTGAGGTTAACCAGGGCATGCAGGACCCACCTGCTAAAACCCATTCTCTCTGGACTTTATTTCTGTACAGCATCTTAAACATACCCAGCATTTCAGAGTAAGCAGCTTGCCCTGCCCCTAAAAGCACGTACTATGTGTGTACAGTATAATGAGGGGAAAATCAGCGTTTCATCAAGGCCAAATATTATGTAGTTTTGTATTCTTATGGAAAGAGTCTGCTCTTTTTGTTACCTGTTACTGTATTTATTTTAATCTGTTTACTACTTCAGTTTTCCCTGCCTCTGCATGGGCAGATTAATAATTTTATTTGTTTGTGTTTTCAAAATTCTGTTTTGTTGTTCTCATCACTGCATGGTCTGCCTTCTTTCAGTGTGTGCTCTCTTCTCTCACATAGAGATGATTAACTTTTGCACTAAATGTGCAAAGAAGTATCTGATCTCACAATAGGAGCTTTCACTGCATCAAGAGGCATGCTAGTGATTTAGCAAAAATAGGGCACATGAAATGGTCTTTTCTTGCAACATGGATGTTTTTTTCCACTCTTGCTACTGATTAATGAGTTTAGCTTGGGGACACAAGTCTTCAGAAGTTGCAGCGTATTTCTCCACCCTAAACCTAAACTGTGGTTGTTCAAGTTGAGTTCAAAATGCCAGACTGTTGTTTGATGATGTGTTGGTCAAGGCAAGGCAATCTGCATCACCCTGGGTTTGCCAAATTAATGTGGAACCATGGCACAGACCATATTTTGGTTTCTACCTTGCCTAAAAAGATCACTAATGCTTGTTTAATTACAAGCTCCAAAATAAAAAAATAATAGTAATAAAAAAACTGGTAAAGCATAGACAAGTTAACCTGTGCAGTTGCATTTACATCATTTGAAACAAAAGTTGATTGTTAATGACTCTTTATCCCAAAAACACAGCCTTCTCCATGGCATCTTCCACTTGCATATATTCCAGATGAGATGGGTAGTTAGTGCATTGGAAATGGGGGCTCTTGCGGACATAGTTAAGGAAATCTGGAGCTCCTGGGAAAATTATATTGTCAGCCAGAAGAACTGAGCCCTTCCTCAGCAAGTTGCATTCCTAAAAAGAAGAGAAATTGCT